TACAACAATCAACAAAGTTATACCTGCAGCGACACTACAGCACAGTTGTAGGATGAATCCCTAAAAGGGAACTTTACCTCCACTTCAAACGCTTGACTGAAAGGCGGACGTATCGGAAGTCAGTCGTGGTCACGCTGGTGCCATCTTGGATCCAGGCAGGGTTCCCTTACCAGGCAGGTGAAGTGGATGTGAAGTGAAGCACTGTGTCACTCCTGCTGAACACCCCCGAAGACGAAGAAACGCAGGTCAAGTGCGGGCGTCCACCCATCTAACACTGAAAAACCAAGTGCCACTCCGGACCATACCACAGAGCTTTTCAGATGAACTCTACAAATCAGTGTTTGGTTTGTACTCATTTGGCTAAAACAGTAATCACCAAAAAGAGGAGCCGTGGATCTTTGTCAGGACGGGTTCATCGTGTCACGTAAATTTCAATCGGCTTAAATTACGGTTTAGATCTTATTTAGCATGGCCTCTCCTTTTGTGTCATGTTTTCAATTTACGGAAAACTAGCAGCAGGTTAAAGCTTGTTAATGTGAGTTTTGGCATTTCGGTCAGTTTTCATTACATAAAAGAGCTAATTTGTTAATTGGACTCACTTCCTTTCTGTGGATGAACAGCAAACGTGCAGCAACTGACAGGTGTTAAAATAAGCAAACGTGTAAATTAGTAGGAATCTCTGGTTATCTTAGCAGCACGGTGCTACATAACCAACGCTACGTGGATTTTATTTAACTGAAACAAGGCCTTAGCTTGACGCTTAAATTCAGTTTCGAAAAAACTGAGTTGAGGCAGGTCGTGCAAACGTTCCATCTGTTTCTGAAAGCGTCCACACCGGCATCGCTTTAACTCTTAACACAATTTAAATAAGTAAGTGAAACACAAATTAAACCCCTGTACCGTGGTCCTGAGCAAGGAAACTAGCTATAGGGATCAGAACAGTTTCTTGTACAAGGCTCTAAACGTATGCATTTCTGTTGTAAAACTGAACGTTTTAACATCGGGGGCTGACTTGGTTGTGGAGCCTCTAGTGGACATTCGAGGAACTGCAGCTTTTTGCACTTCAGCTTTGGTTTTGGTTGAGTCTGGTGTCGCGCCTGTAATATCATCACAGTTTATATTTCCTAACACACAGAATGAGGAGAACTTAAGCTTCAGCTGTAATACAACACTATGACGTGTGTCCGTCTCAAATCAATCATAATCTTGAGAACCAGAGTTGGAAAAACGTTGACTTCAGCTCTAACTTGCAGGTTGAACCGTCGACAAACTGAAGAGCTGCAAACTGCTGCTGGCATTGACATGAAAATGAAAAATAATGTTCGAGCACATCCGAGTCAGAATACCTTCTGTTCTGGTCATTCTGCAGACATCGTGTGAAATCAACTTTACGGTCAAAGACGCACCAGAACACCAACAAAACGCTTTGGTTTTTTTTTTTTTTTATTTTAATCGTTTCCATCACTTTTCTCAGTCAACACTGGCAGGCATAATTTGTTTTTTGTTTTTTTTATAGGCAAGAACAACATGGTGTGAGTTCTAGAGTGAAGCAGGAAGCAGAAAAATAAATAAGACTGTGTACAAAAATACAACCTCACTGTACAAACGCTGCACCGTACAAAGCAAAAGAGAAGAGATGGGAGACTCGGCGGACCTCGGTCTCGACTGGCGTATGGCACTTTTAAAGACTAAAACAGTCAAGCCTAAAGTTATTCTCAGAAAACATGCAGAAGAGCATTTCTGGTTATAAACAATGCATTTATCAAGTGCTGGTAGGTCTGTAATAAATCCCCCCCAAAAAATTTAAGTGTGTTTTTGGTGTGACTGAATAAAATAAAGTCACCACCGACGATACCATAATCTGTAAAAGGACGCTCATACGAAGCGTTTTAATAACGTTTTCCAGAAGCTCCACTATGAATTATTTCATCGACGGCACACTTGAGTGCTGTAAAACGCTTCTGAGTTATACTTATTCGATGGCATTGATTTTCCGTATTGATTCTTTAAATCACGCTCGTACTATATATACGTCAATAGTCATCTTGTATTTAGACTTTAACCGGTTAACGTACGCTTGTATGCGCAGCGGACTGTAAACACTCAACAGCAGACATCAGAACAAATCAATGACCGCAGGAGGTCGGACCGCGTGTCACTGTACCAATATGCAGTTTGATTGAAGACCAGAAGCTCTTTTTCCTGTTGCCTTTTCACTGAAGTACCTGAGCACCTGTACGCAAAACACAGGATCCCGTTAAAAACGCAGCCACCTCACAGATAAAGGACGATATGGTTGAAACCGAGCAGCTCCGTAGATTCAACAAAAAGTGATCAATTTCCGTAAGTGTCGGAGCAGATCTCGGTCAATCATGCAACACAAAGTGTGCTCACAAACCGGTAAAACCGTCTGGAAACCTCTCGTGCGACGTAAAACAAAGAGTGTCATGCATTTTTTATGAACGATCAATAATCATTCCGAATCTTTCCACCAACGGAGCAGCAACACTGGCCGATCAAAAGCGCGACAAAGGATGACTCGCAGGAGCCGCTAAAGAAAGCAAAACGCGGCTCTCTGTCTTTGCACTACTTGAAGCCATTCACGAGTGAAGCGCAGAAGAAATGCTGAGCAAAGGAACTTCACTTCGTTACTAAACACTGAAGGGGGGGAAAAAATCAGCTGCAGACTCCAGATATGTCAGTTCCGACGGCAGCAGCCTCTCTCGCTGTCCATCATGCATCAGGGGTATGCAAATACCAAAAAAAAAACATTAGAAAACATCAATAGCAGCAAAATATGAATAAATAAATAAATACATCATATCACAAAACACATTCATCTGTGGGTTCGTTCCACATGGCACGGAGCACGACAGCGAAAAATAAAAACAGACTTTTTAGAAAACAGAAAGAGAAGTGGACTTCCAGAAATAGCGTCAGTATTTTTGGAGCCAAACTACACTACACACCGCAGATCAAAGCGTCAGTGCTAAACACGCCTCATCCTGGATTACATGAGGGCTTCTCGGTGACATCTCCATGCTGCAGGCGACACACACTGAACCTACAGTTCGCTACTGTACGCTGGGCTATCAAACAGACATCAAAAGACCCCGTTCGCCAACGGGCCGAGCGATGATCAACTTGTGACCGCTGACTCCGCGGGTGCTTGTCAGGACGCGAAGGTCTCGGATGGCGACGGATCAGTCTTTGCTCTCGGTGCGCGTTCGTCTGATGACCGAGGAGAAGAAGCTCCGACCTTGCGGTTGGCCCATCAGCATGGGAGCCTGGTTTTTGTGGACGATCTCAATCTGGAGTTGGAACAGAAGAGTTGAGATTTAGCTCAGGGTTGTTCATTGTTGAGCAAAGAAATACAGAATTAAATGGCACAGAGAGGTAAGTTCACTTTTTGTTTTCTTTACCATCGTCCATCATGTCCATCAGACATTTCTCACGGCTACAGGAAACAACAGCAACTTCTAGCAAGTGCCAAAAGATTCACATTGTGTAATAAGTCATGCCATTTAGTGGTATTTTACTGATAACGCTCTCCTCCCTGCATGCAAACAACTCCCCCCATGACTGTTTTCGGGGTACTGGAGCTACATCCTGGGCTGAGCACCATCCACTCATTTCTAAATATTATTTTAACTTAATTTACATATACGGTGCATTTAATTTGACTTAAGACAGGTGCTTGGATATTTCTGGATTTCTTAAATGCTTTGTAATATTGACTAGCTGAGCTCATTTTTGTTTGCTGTGTAGTAAGTTCAGGTGTTTTATTTTGCACCTATTGTGTGTAACTGCTCAGCCGCTGTGTGTGTCCCGTTTTGTTCTTTGTTTGGTAGGTCGGGTCAGTTGGCTCTTTTATGAACCCACAATATCAGTGCTTGTTTTTCTTGATTGATTTTTCTCTATTATTCGGGGGAGAAGAATAAAATAAAGCCCTTATTTTGAGAATCCACCTGCGACCCCTCATGCTCTCCAGCTCGATCCCTCTCACAGCAAAGTGTGGTTTACAGAAGCTGAACCGTCAGACCTGCATCTGATGGAGCAACAAGATGAATATGTAACATATAATGTTAATATATTTAATGTAGACAAACTGCGATGTAATGAAGTCGTCTTCCATCCATCCATCCATCCATCATCTCTACACCCTAGTCCTCACTAGGGTCATGGGGGGCTGGAGTCTATCCCAGCTGACTCAGGGTGAAGGCAGGTTCACCTGGACAGGTAACCAGTCTATCACAGGGCTACACTTAGAGACAGACAACCAAGCACACTCACATTCACACCTACGGACAATTTACAATCACCAATTAACCTCAGCATGTTTCTGGACTGTGGGAGGAAGCCGGAGAACCCGGAGAGAACCCACGCTGCACGGGGAGAACATGGAGGCTCCACGCAGAAAGATTGCGGGTGTCCTCACCGGGACGCGAACCGGTGACCTTCTGGCTACAAGGCGACGGTGCTAACGAGCCCAAGTCGTCTTCCTAACATGACAATTTAAGCTCCAATGTTAGCTGGCTAGCTGTTTAGGGGCTCATCAGCTCGTCTCCCTGAGTCGCAGAATTTCAAAAACTATGAACTAAACACCTACTGGAGCCATATTCAAGACGTTAGTCACTAAACGATGTTGTTAAGTAGCTTGTTTATGAAATATTTGCATACAAGCTACAACAACAGTCGGGCTACTGCTGCTGTAAACTGTTGTTTTAATGCATTCGACTGCTTTGCATGAGCTGGGCTGATTCACAGTTAATGTCTTGGTATCTGTAGAGTAGCTGCTGCATGTGTAGGTGAAAACAGCACAGCCAAAGTGTGTTGTAAAGGAAGTTATGTGTGCACAGATTTGCGTTGGTGTCTACGGCCTCAGATGTGGTGCAGATGTTCTGAAGTTTGTGACAGCTGTGATAATGTGGTGCATAATCATGTACCTTTAAGCAATGTCCGAAATGCACCAATAGCTGTTTTCCATCGTCCCCCCAGTGAGTCTTCATGCAGTCGACTCTGTACTGTGGGTGAGTGGACGTCCGAACCCGGCTCTAGTTTCAGGACTGTGGTCCAGTCGACCAGCTGCTTTAATCCAATCAGCTGTTCAAGGCCACTCAGCTTCCTCCCTTTCTCACATTAACGCTAAAGTAAAGTGAAATTTGCCGCTTTGTTGTATTATTTCTAATTAGAGAGCAGATTTCAGAACAGACGATAATTGAAGAGAGAAATAGCTGCAGGCTTTTCTTCTGTCTGGTATCATTCTGAGGTGAACGTCTTTGAGCTCTGAACTGTTGGAGAACACAAAGACGTCGCTGCTGGTGAGGGACTCTTTGGTGTTTTCTAACAGAAACGCAATTTATCTAAAAGTTAATTGAGAGAGCAATTGACAGAGAAACTGTAAGACTGTTCACTGGGTGCAGCTTCATGTTCTCCTGAGGTCTAACCAAATAAAAAGTTCCACTCGACAACGTAAACAACTGTCTCACCACTGGAAACAGGGAACAGTGAGTAAATCAATGGTTCTCTACGTACCTCCAGGGGTTCTCGAAGGGGTTCCACTGAGTTCTTTACCTTTCATTTGAATCACTAGAACGCATCCTCGTGAAATAACGAAGCTTCTAGGCACAGTTCGTTATACCCAGAGCTATCTCCCCACAGAGTTTAACTCAGCAATGCATCAACAACAGCAACAACAAAACTCCCATATGGGTCTTGTGTCCATATGGGTTCTTGTCAAGTGGGGTCTTTTTGCTTATAAATGTATATTTGAAAGTCCTTAATACAACAAACTTTGAGGATCCCTGCGGTTTGTGGCTGCCATAATGAATGGTAACATATATTACGGTGGATTACAGCAACGTTTGGGCTTTAGAATATCTGATAATATCCTGTTTGCCAGCAGCGACACCATTTCTTTTGAAAGCTGAAATTGCAGAATGATGGAAGAACAAACATCAACCATGAAGGGTTGTCAGATTAAGCACATCATTATACTGTCACGCTAAGAGTCTGAAGGCAGTAATGGGGAGGGGAAATGCTGCCATCTGCATTCAAAGGCCCACGTTCACTTCAAAGAAAAGCTGCCATTTATTGTACTTGCACTCTGACTCTGCAGCAATTACCAGCTTTTGTGAGCTCTTCGACGTGATTGAACTGAATGTTTCTGATGTACCTTACAACACACGTGATAACCTTTCTAGCCAAGACACGGGTCACAAAAAGAGGACCTGAAGGAACACCTAAAGTTAATCTGGGAGGTAACTGAGGGCTATATTTAAGATGCAACATTAAAGGTTATGTGTGCATCTTGGGCCAAAACAAAGTCGACCACGCCTCCTTCCTTCACTTTCATTTACAACCAGAAAGGTTGTTGTGTGCACGAGGGCCAACAAAAAGCCACAACCGTCCACCCATGCTGACACTGTGATGGTTGGACCAGACTCACTGGATGTAGAATGTGGGTAAAATAAAAGCCTGGCGTCGGCCGCTCATTCCGGGCGGCTTTGTCCTTCCCTTTCACTTATCGGCACGTTAACGTTTTCTCTGCAAACAACAACCTCCGAGCAGCAACCTGCCACATGGAAAAGTTTTGCTGAGTATTTGGATCGTGCACTTAGGCCACACGTAGCAGGTATCTCCCAAAGCAAAGATACTTTTCTACGATGTTTCCTGTCATCCACACGAAAAGGCAGATTTACGGCATTAAAAATGATTCTTTCAAAAACCTTTGACCAAAGTGAAGATCTGCGAATCCTCCGTTTATACGTCTGCATGTGGACGTCAATAACCAGGTTTTAGGTTTTGAAACATCACTGCCTGCGACTAAACACATTCTTTACATCACATACGCGACCATTATTCCACGTTTGCTGCTATATTAATGCTGTATTTATGTACAAAATCCTGCACATGGCACCTTTAAGCAGTAAATGGTTTTTCAAAATAAAATGTAATGCTGGTGAGAGCAAAAGATGTAAAATGTACTTTTGCCTTATTTTCTTGGATTTCAATCGAAGTCGAAGAACCCAAGGAAGGATAAATATGTTATTTAAGGTCATTCTGATTATATGTTTATTATGAAGAGTTCAAGATTAATAATGATGGATTTATAATCCTGTGTATGATTTAATGTATGTTGTACTGAATGACGACATGTTTCTCCACCTTATTTTACTTAATTGTGAAGTTAACGAGATGAGCTGTTGTGTTTGTTGTGTGCATAATTGTGACTGTGCGTATGTGTGTGGACCCCAGCCAATGCTAATAATGCTAAAACTAGCCGATCCTAATAAACAAAACAAAACAAAAGCAGTACATGGCCCAAGACTCTCCGTCAGAAATCACTTTACGACAGAGACCAATTAGAATAAATAAATGTGTTTAATGTAATCAGAAGTTATCCACGTTTAAAAAAAAACCTCAGAGGGTGTTATGTTTAAGCCTTAACAAAGAGGTATTTTACATGTGGAAACAGAGCCGCAATTCTGGTTTGTTAGCAGTTGTTTCAGACCTAGTTATCGGAGAGAGTGACACATGTTGTACGTCGCTTCAAAATGCAAATGGTTTGATGGTGTTAAATATGTTATGCATGCAGAGCAGCCGAGATGCATTTGCATAGTTGTTGTTGTTAATAATTAGTGGAATAATATCCCATTTGAACTGCGATGTTTTTATAAGCAGTTAACAGGTTGAGTGATGCAAATCCAGCTCTGACATACAGTATGAATAACCTGCCGTGGAAATCATCGCAGCACGATTATGTGTCCCTAACTTTGCTCGGCGGAGTTGCGCCGGCAGACAGAAGAGCACTTGCAGGCTACTTCTTTTGTCATGCATCGGGTTTCTTAGCTTCGTCTGGGCGATCCATATGTAAATCTCAGCGACACTTCATTTGCAGCGGCGTTCTAATTAAAGCTAAACACAACCGTAATCAACACAAACTGAAGAGCTTCGTTTTTGAAAAAAAAAAAAAAAAGGAACAACTCGGACAGAGAGCAAACACTTATGGAGGTGCATGTTGGAGATGTAGAGGGTAAGCAAATTAGAAGAAGTAAGACATCATCAGGGATTTGTTAACATAAATTACTGCACAATAAAGACCAAGCGATAATGTGTGCAGTAAATGCAAGGGACAGAAGAATACATTGGACACACGTCTTTCTGAACTGTTGTATTCTATCTGTTATTAGAAAATGTGTTTGTTCGATTTATGTTTAAACGTATTTCCTCTGAGCTTAATTGCATCAACTGGCATTGACTAAAATCTGGCACATTTAGACACTAATGATATTAATGAATGGGAGCTAAAGTAGAACAGAATGATGAAGTTTTAATTAACCAAAGCTTAACAGGAGGAGCTTGGTTTTGTTTTGTAGGATTGTAGTGAGGGCTGCAAGGTGGCGCAGTTGGTTAGCACCGTCGCCTTGCAGCAAGAAGGTCGGCGGTTCGCATCCCGGTGGGGGTACCGGGATCTTTCTGCGTGGAATCTCCATGTTCCAGGTTCTCCGGCTTCCTCCCACACAGTCCAGAAACACGCTGAGGTTAATTGGTGATTGTAAATTGTCCGTAGGTGTGAATGTGAGTGTGCTTGGTTGTCTGTCTCTAAGTGTAGCCCTGTGATAGACTGGTTACCTGTCCAGGTGAACCCTGAGTCAGCTGGGATAGACTCCGCCCCCCATGACCCTGGTGAGGATTAAGGTGTGTAGATGATGGATGGAGCTCATCTTGATGTCTCTAGCTAGACTCCTGTTTGGTGGATCTACGACTACGATCACCTGAGGTCACCAAACGCCACTTCTACCGAGAAGGATAAAGGTGTCGGTCACAGTTTGAGCTCTAAATCAAGTGAGCTCAGGTGAAGCGTGGCTGGTAATAGTTTGTTTAAAGTTTGTTTGTTTTTAAGACTGTAGCTTTTTGTTTGGCCTTTTGTCCACATAGAAAAGCAGCTTTAGGTCCCTGAAAACAGACCTTTTGGGAAGATCGTTTTAGGGTTAGCAGCTTTAGACTTGTCTAAACATGCCCAGTGTGCAATACCAGACATGTGATGTGCATTTACAGTTGTGTTAGTGTGGACAAAGGTTATTCTGGTAGATTAATGGTAGCAACTGGACCTGCTTGAGTTCCTTGAAGACGTTTCACCTCTCATCCAAGAGGCTTCATCAGCTCTGACTGACTAGTTGGGAGATACTGATATCCTTAAGGAGACATTAACACCTGAGTTTCGGTTTCAGTTGGGGGTTTGTTGCTCCTCCCCCCTCGTCCCAACTAGTCAGTCAGAGCTGATGAAGCCTCTTGGATGAGAGGTGGAACGTCTTCAAGGAACTCAAGCAGGTCCAGTTAATTAATCTACGAGAACAACTATGACCTGGAGGACTGAGAACCTTCACAGACATGGACGAAGGTTGTTTCTGAAACTGTTCTAAAACATGCTACTATGAAACTTAAACTTAATGAACGCAGCTCCTGACAGCAGCATCAATGTAAACGTGTACCAGTGCGCCGCCACCACATCACTGCTACGTGGTGTCAGAGGTGCAACAGATCACACCTCCAAAGACACACAAAGATAATGATGTGCGTCGTCAAAGGTGCCACATACAAAGCATTCCCAGTGTGATGCCGCCCCCCTCCTATTCCTACAGTATACAGTACGTCACTGCTAAATGTTTAGGCACGGTGAATAATCTACGGCAACGACTTACAGTGCAGGGAGTCTGCATCCAGGGCTCACCGTCGATCTGCATGGGAAGAGATTTACTGGTTCTGCAGGTGATACACAAGAGAACATGAAAAATGAAAGATTAAAGTTACAATTTTAAAACGTAACTCTGACGTAACTCATTAATTTAACTGTTGCCTCCTTTTCCCCTTTTCATTGAGCACTGAGCACACCAGCTCACCTACAACTCAAACAAGCTGTAATATTAAAGTAATTCTGCAGAACAATCATATGGAAATGCACCACCCTGCAAGTCAAGGGGATTCTCTCCTCGGGCGTGTTACGTATAAAATCCATCTGAATCTGTGTTTCTGAGACCGCTGTTGGCTTTAAAGTGGAAACGCTCAACCATGACTTTGACTCTTATGATGATCAAGTGCTCTTCTGGTGTATAAAAAGCACCAAACAAGGCAAAAGGAGCCTTAAAGTTTCTGGAGACAGACTGCTGACAGCGAGTTATTTAGTTCTGAGCACACACACAGAACATACAGCTGTAAGAAGATATTTAACCAAACGTATACTAGATAAGACTTGCTTACTCCACCTTTAACACGTGCCAGTCTTTTTAAAATGACAAAAATTAAAATATCAACTACATTTGCTGACTTAACAACTTCATAAAGATGCTTGCAGAAGACAGTCGGCCAACACTGACCTGATGGTCACCGAGGAGCACTGCGCCAGGCGTCTCCCAGCGCTCTTTAAGCCGGTGTAGATCTGACCCATCTCCATGGCTCCCTCCAGACCTACGACCTCCAGGAGCTGGTCAGACAGGTCTAAGACAACAACAAAAAAAAACACCACAAAACCACACCTTAAAGTAACAGAAAGTCCAATAAAGCAAACATGCTGCTACGGTGTGAGCCCCGTGTTCATGCAACAGCTCTGAATATAATGAAAATGTAGAATTCTGTCCCCGTATGAACACATATTGGACGTCTTTTTTATTCAGGCGTGTTTATAGGATTTAAAAGTCAGGGTTAAGCTAACATTTAACTTGCTTTTAAATGCTGGTATTTATAAAAGACAAAGACGCGAGAGGTGAAAAGAGTTCCATAAGCAGTGAGAAGACAAATGAGGGATGAAATGTATGTAGTCAGAAAGTGTGGAAGGAGAGAAGAAGGAAGTGAGAAGCAGGTGAGGAGGAATAAAAGAACAAGACACACGTGATGTTCCTCACGCTGCCGTCTGCTTCTGAAACATTTAACATTCACAGCTTTGAAAAGAAAAAAGAAAAAAGGCAACAAGCTACAAACAAAACAGCTATTAATTAGATTGCACCGGCAATGCAAAGCAATCTTGTGATAATATAATTATTAATTTCTCTTCTGTTTTTCAGTTATGAGCATTGATTTTGCCCCTGCTGGAAGCCCAGTGTCACGCAGGGCCCATCTGTTTCAGCGGCCCGCTCTGCCTCCGACTCTCCATCGACTCGTCCCTCCACAAATTAAGAAGCTGCTGCCTCGCTGTTGGGAGCACGCAGACTCTAATTGAAACTAAGACCCATTTTTAGGCACTCGGTGCGTGCGAGCGTGTTAGCTCGCTGTCACCGACGCTGCTCCGTGGCTGTCATGCTTATTGCGAGAGTCGCGCTGGTTTCCTGAAGGAGTGTCGTGGGCGATGCGGCCGTTGTGCTGAGATGTTGCCGACCTGTGGTGTCCAGCTGTCACCATGGTGATGGACATGCGTCTGCCCCGATCTTAGCGCCGGACAGTGAGCGCAGTGCTTTCCAGGGTCGGGGTGGAAGAGTGTGTGTACATACAGTCCACAGCAGGTTGACCTCCTGACACCGAGCTTTAAAGCTGCTCCCCTCATTGTGACTTCTCACGTCGATGCAAACGGCTCACACAGGCCCGTGCTGACACGTATGATGGACAGCGTCACCACGGTGATAGGGATTCCTTGTTGCCCTGGGCTACAGAGATCCAGTATACCCCAGAGGGCTTTGCTATGGAAAAGAACACAGAGGCTGCAGCAGCGTGTCTGCCACTTTAACCAGGTCAGGGCGAGTGTGTGCAACCGGTGGATTGTAAACAAACACAACAAAATATATGCTTCTCTAGTCGGGCCTCGATCCCATTGTGTCAAATACAGGTGCCTCGTCGGGTCCATTTTTCCAGTGTGCAGGATAAACTTTACCAGAAGTCCCTGAAGCCTGAGAAGTCTGCGTTGTAACGTGCAGTTGATGTTGTGACAGGGTGCATTTTAACCCACGCTTTCATCTTTAAGCGAAAAAAACAGCATTTCCACGTGGGACACAAGCCTCAGGGTGAAAGCACTGCGACACAAAGTCCCACCATCGCTCCTGTTTCAAACTGGAAACACTCCCGTATGTCTCCCAGGTGTTTGCTCTCAGTGTGGAACGCTACAGCGAGCGGGTTCACATCAGACCCGGTTGCAGACCTTGTGCGTCACGGCACAGATGCCCGGGGACACCTCGTGCGTATCTCTGAGACGTCGCTTTGATGAAATGGCGGTATTATGACGCCCTGGGAACGAGAACGATTTTTTTGTTTTTTTTTTGTTTCCTGCTTTGTAAATAATTTCTGGACTTTTTAAACCCCATTAAAAAAAAAGTAACTCAGAATTTACAGTAGAAGAAACTCACATCCCTGCCCATAGTTAGAGTTCAGTAGCAAAAACAACACAAATAACTGCTTAATTTGTCCAAAAAATAAACAAAATGGGGGAATAACAAGCTTTTTAACGTGGCACCTTGATTTCAAAATGAGCCTGCATATCAGCGTTTCTATTATTCATCTCACGCTGTCTCGTTTTCATTTATTTTAACACGGAGACAACACAGGATTTCAATAAAAGGTCTCGCGTGAATGAAAGTCAGATTTCATCTACCGTGATTTACTGGTGAGTTCCCATTAATGCGTCGAATCGACAGCCATTATTTCTCATATTAGAGGTTCGAATGAAACACCTGGAACAGACAATAAAAAGTCCACCCTGCCAAATATAGAAAAAGCCATCTTGTTTACTTCCCAGAGATAAACTGGGAGAAAAGTGGAGCCCCCCGACTGTTTATGCAAGAGACGGGCTGAATTATTAACACGCCAGATAAGCAGCCAAATATAAACCAAACCTCACCTTCAATCAGCATTATGTGCCTCAGTCAGGTGATGAAATTGTGATAAATGCTGAAGGTGGCGATGCAGAGAGAGGGACACCATCATATATTTTTTAAAAATAAAATTGCGTCCATATGGGACACACAGAAGCAGCTCTGTGGCTTTAATCTGCAGCCATGTCTTCCCGTCAGAGTGTGGGATTAGAAACGGCGTCCTTGTCACTGTCAAACAACTACCTGTCGAGGCCGGTGGCTGCACTGACGCATGTGGAGCGACAGGGTGAGAGCAGGGGAATAAAGCACAGGCGGTGACGGAGCCGAGCAGCACCAGGACCAGCGGCCGATCAGCTGAAAGTAAAACTAAGGAGGGATGGCGGGAGGAGGAGGAGGGAGGGCGCGCGGAGGCCGATCCTCCAATGAAAGCTTCATGGGGCTTGTCACGGGGGATCAGTCCCAAGCATCAACCCCTCCACCCACACACATGAACCCCTCCTCCACCCCCCCCCCCACCCCCGCAAAACCTCAGTCCCATTCTAAATAATTCACTCTGCAGCCATTCCCTTCCACCTGAGGGGCTTGTCTCCTGGCGTCACCAGCGGGACGATTTAACAGCTCCCGAAAGGTCAGGGTTTTTTTATCCCCCAGCCACCCACCAGCCACCCATCCAAACACAGATGCACCCACACACACACACACACACACACACACACACACACACACAATAATCCCAGCCAACAGTTTGATCGGTGCTCTGCGTTGCCCCCTCTGGGCTAATGCACTCCCGTGTTTACCTCTAAATACGCTGTTCTCTTGATCTGACAAGTTAGGCGGCTCACCTTGAGGGCACCTTCCACAAGGGCATCTATTCTTACAAATGCAGTGCAGGTGGAGGCCGAACACACACGTCAATACACAGGCAGACACGAATGGGCAGACGTCGTGGCACACACACTCCCCACTAAGTGCCTTCCCAGGTTCAGACTGTGGCCTCTTTTTCTTTCTTTTTTTTTAAAACCACAAACACCAAAATGATTGATTTTTTTATTCAGGGATTAATGGAGTGTTCATCATCATGAGGTTGGACTTTGAATTGATCAACTATCTCCTTCGTCTGACGGTCGCAGCATTACATTAGGGAAGTTAGACGCATCCCGACATGCAGCTGGGTTCTGTTCGGGTTGATTCTATTACCACTGAGCTGTGTTTCCCCTTTCTTCTTCTTCCCCGTCGTCCCCGCTATGCTTTACAACACTTTTCCGACACCATGAAACATTTATTTTTTTTGCTTTTTGATCAGACGTACAATAAATGCTGCTCCTGTGAATTAGGGACTAATTTGACAGATTCTAACAAGCTTTGAAGGCGCAACTGCTCCAAAGGAAACAAAAAATGGAATAAAAAAAAACAAAAAAACAGCTTCATCGGCAGCTTCACAGAGATCTGTTTTTCCAGCAGTCATGTTCCGACCAGTGAAGTCTCATAAGGGATCACCGGCAGCCATGTCTGGAGATCCTCAGCGACTCGTCACGTTTCAAGCCCGACACTGATTGTAACATCCACTTCATCCACGAGTACAAACACACAATCCCACCAGGAAACCCGAAAACATACTGCGCACACCTGAGCAGGCAGCAGTTAGACACGATAGGAATAAAATACAAAAAAACGCCACACCTATAAATATAAATTTAGAAGGAGTCCTAAGTTCAGGCTGAGATAAAATCCTGTTAGCAACACGTTTCACATATAGGTTGTGGATGTATTGACTGTGACGCCATCATTAGTTTGTGGACTCGTTTTTGAAGTCTTCTGTCTTACTTCTTTAATCAGATGTCAGGAACATA